GGTGGGGCCCATTGGATTAAATTAATCCAAATTAGCCCATTGATTATTATATTAAGGCCCTAAATAAAGAACAAAAGAACTAGACTGTGATTGAATAAGAGCTCATTGCGATAGTATTTGCTTTGGAAAAATTTCTCTCCTATATGCTTGGTACGAGAGTTATATTGCATACTGACCACTCTGCTTTGAGATATTTGGTGGCGAAGAAGGATGCAAAACCAAAGTTCATTAGATAGGTGCTTCTATTGAAAGAGTTTGATTTTGAGGTTAAAGATAGAAAAGGGACTAAAAATCAAGTTGCCGATCACTTTTGTCAATTAGAGGATGAACCTATGCGAGAGTTGGGTCAAAAGTATAAAATTGATGATACCTTCCCTGTTGAGCATGTTTTGGACGCTTCTCGTGACTTTATCCCATGATCTGCCGATTTTGCGAATTATCTAGCTAGTGATGTAGTCCCATAGTACTTGTCCTTCCATCATAGGAAAAACTCATGCACGATGTGAAAGAAAATCTTTTTGGATGAGCCTTTGTAATAACAGATTTGGGTTAATGGGCTTATTTGCCTTTGTGATCCGGATGTTGAGATGCTAAGTGTTTTGGAGGCATGCCATTCCTCACCTGTGGGTGGCATCATAGTGGTATCCGGACTTCCCATAAGATGTTGCAGTGTGTGAACTATTGTCATACTATCCACGAAGTTCGCCAAGGCATGTGGTAGGTGCCAAAGAGATGGAGGAACTTCGAAAAGGCAAGAGCTCTCTTTATATGCCATTCTAGTGATTGAGTTCTTTATTGTATGGGGCATTGATTTTAAGGGACATGTTTGTGAGTTCTCATGGGATAAAATATATTCTTCTTGTGGTGAATTATATTTTCCAGATTTTGCACATCTATGGTCCTTATTACTGATGGGGATCCCACTTTTGCAAAAAGTTGTTCAAAGGGCTATTGGAGAAATATGGGGTTCGCCACAATGTAGCCACTCCGTACCATACACAAACTAGTGGGCAAGTTGGGTGTCCAATAAAGAAATCAAGCAGATCTTGTCAGCCGTGAATGCTAGTAGAAATTGATTGGTCAAGGAGGCTTGGTGATGCTCTTTGGGCTTACCAAACTGAATACAAGACCCCCATAGGTATGTCTCCATACACACATGTCAATAGGAAGGCTTGTAACTTGCCAGTTGAGCTAGAGCACAAGGCCATGTAGGCGATAAAGAAACTGAAGATTGATTGGAATGAAGCAGTGGTACAGAGACTTAACGGGTTTATTAAGGTTGATGAGTCTCGCCGAAGAGTATATGAAAGTTCAGCCATCTACAAAGAGAAGATGGATAATTACCATGACCAAAATATTGAGAAGCACGAATCTGCGGTTGGGGACTTGGTGCTTCTATTTAACTCTAGGATGCGCTTGTTTCCGGGCAAACTCAAGTCCAAATTGACTGGGCCATTCTTAATAACTAAAGCGTTCCCACATGTAGCGGTTAAGTTTTGGAACAAAGATAGTGCAAGGTTTACGGTTAATGGGCAAATAATCAAGACATATCTAGGGCATTTAGAGAGTGTCCATGAAGTTGTTGAAGTATATCTCTTAGATGAAGTTTGAGTAATCAAGGATCTTGCATCGTCCCGCGACCATATGTCAAGCGCTTCCCGATGTTTATCCTCTAGCCAACAATAGGTTTTCTTTTCTTTGTTGGAATATTTTCATTCTTTTGTTCCGTTTTGTTTTACTCAATTTCATGTGTTAATTTTTTTAAGTGTGTTGTCTAGAGAGTAGTTTAGGGTCCGCATCTTAAAAGAGTACAGAAAATCAAAAAAGAATGGCTTAATTGTTGCTCAGTGTGTAGGGACTAAACCACAAGAATTCAGCAAAAATTGGTCTAGTGCACATATTACGGATCAATCGACGGACCGTCGATGGTATCCATAGATCCCAAGTATGTACAATTTGTTTTTTATGTTTGTGCACAATCGACGGTCCGTCTATTTCTTTATGGACCGCGATGGGATGATGTCAATTCACAAAGACTAGTGCCCTGACCCGACTAGATATATTAAGCTACATGTATTCAGTTACCCTCCCACACCTTTTTATATTCCATCTGAACCATTTCCCTCTCCTTATTCCCATCTTTCTCCATCAACTCCCATAATCCAACCTTTAAATTTTCTTCAAAATCACCATACCTCCCAAACTCCTAGCATCCTAAAGCCCTAACCTCCACAATTTTCTACTCAAAACTCTATCGTTTATCCGGTCGATGTTTGTAGGCGGCACGTAGGTTAGTTGTTGCAAAGATCACCCACCCTTCACTCCACTACATTTTACAAGTATTTCATTTCCCTTGGCTTAATTATATCTCTTTCGTTTGCTTTTGGAAACAAATAAATTGTATGTGGGTCTTGAGTTTGTGAAAAAATTGCATATTAAAAATGTCAAAATTGTGTTCTATGTTTCTTATTATTATCTTTGTTATTATGTGTTGGGTGATATTGTGATATGCTTGAAATTATCCATTTGTGGAGTTAAAACCAAGTCCTAAAAACCTGTGTCATAACAATAGAATGAGATCCCGTCTACGGACCATTGGTTGACTGACAGACCGTCGATGGGATCTATCAATGACTAACATTTAAATCTTCTGAACATTGGAATGATGGAAGTGGACTTGGAGCGTCGATTGATTGATGGGCCGTTCTGCACGTCTGTCATTTCTAACTTAAACTCTAATTCTTGATATTTTTTGAATTATTTTAAGTGTAAGATGATGAAAGTGGACTACGATTCTTCGATTGATGACGGTCCGTTCTGCATATCCGTCTTTTCTAACTTAGAGGTCTGTGAAATGTTGACTTCTAAAATATGCAAAGTGTCCACCGATGGACACTATCGATTGTCCGTCAATTCATCAATGGATCGTCAAAAGTGTCCGTCTCCCAAATCTGTAAATTGGCAAATACTGGTATCTTCTATTTCCAGATTTTATCTTGATCATTTTGCTTGTGTAGTTTGAATACATTGAGACTAACAATTTTCTTTTCAGGTACTTATGGCCCTGAAACGAGACCTCGTTCATTCCTGGTGTAGGTCCAAGTCTATGGCTCGTTCCTTGGCAGTTGATAGGCATGTCGAATGATGAACAAGATCTGGAATACGTTGAGCTGGAACCTGGACCCCTACACTAGCTGCTAGAACTACTCGGGGCACCTCCATAAAGGTGGTTCTCGGCGTAGTCACTGCCTCCTAGTGTAATGAGGAGCGCACACTAATTGGCACACTGTCTCGGTTTGCCTCTAGTTTTGATGGAGCATATACTTCAACGAGGGTTTAGGTTCTGAGTCATCCCACTCTATAGTGTCAAATGAGGCTAGTTCCTCCGATTTAGGATATGAGGGAGCCAGTCTCCCAGATGTGATTGCCCGCAATGCCTCGTCTGATGAGGCCCAAAGTTCGGAGTCTGCTCCGGCACCCCAGCAGGGTTTGGTGATGTGTCCAACCAGTTGTGCTTAGATGTCTAGTACCAGCTCTACAGGGATACAATGTTTTTGAAAGATAAGGGGGTTATAACTCGAATGGTGACAGTCGAACGGCGAGTTATTATAGGGAACCTACACATAGTTCCAGCGTTGCATGAATTGTTTACCCGCCACTGGCACGAGTGGATGGGGCGGAGTGTGGGGTCCTACAGTGTGAAGATTGAGTGAGAGTTGAACGCCTCATACGTAGAGACTCTCTGAGGTTCTTTGGTTAGGCGGTTAAACCCATCCAAACACGGAAAACTCATAAATGTTCGAGTTTGAGGTTGCTGGGTGGACATTTATTCTATTTCCATCCACCGCTTCCTATAAGGTGGGTCCACTTATTCCTCGAAGGTTCCCCTCACCCCAGAGTTTTACTACTTGTGGGACGTTGTCAAGAGCGGCCTGTTTCAGCAGAGTAGAGATCAGAGAGAGTCCACTAAGAGGTGGATTGCACAACAGCTCCCAATTGAAAGGGAGGGAGAAGAATGGGTGTTGGACCTTAGAGGCCTTATCAAGAAGGCCAACCTCACTTTTGCGAACAACTTCTTCTACCTTTTAGCTTGCAACGACATATCCCCCACGACTGCATATTATATAGTTACATGGGATAAAGTGGTCTTGGTAGAAGGTGTGGTAGCCGGGTTGGAGATCGATTCTCGCAAGCTTTTTCATCTCTGTTATCAATAGGAGGGATTTTGTGTCCTCTACCACTTACCCGTTTGCCTGTATGATTTTTAAGTTGTGTAGGGATGCTAGAGTGCCCATTTAGTACAAAGATATTTTCTATACTCCTATCGGGATAGTAGATATCGATCTCATCATGGATTAGGACAATATGGCAGCACCACAACGAGGGCCCAAAGTTGATTTGCAGCCACTGCGTGAGAACTTGGCGGATATAGTAAAGAAATCCGAAGGAGGTGATCCATCTACTTTAGAGCCTACCGATACCACCCCGGCAAATTCTGCCTCAAGAACTAATAGGGTACCTTGTTCATCCTGGTCTACACCACTATCAACAGAAATGGTCATGATTTCTAGGGTAAAGAAGATAGACGCCCAGATAACAACTTTATTGCATCATATCTAACCTTGGATACAAAAAGAAAATGCGAGGCTGAGGAACGAATTTAAAATAAGGTGGCTCAGCAGACAGAGCTGAAGATTCAGGTGGTACACAACTTCCTCGATGCGTCAAGCTTTGCATTCTAGAACGCCCAGCCTACATTGTTGATTGGACTATTCATCATGAGGTTGTGGTGATCCTACAGGTAGATTTTGATACCATACTGGAGATGAGAGGATCCGAGCCCGAGATTTCATCGGTTGAGCTTGCGGAGGATAAAGTGCTTGCTGAACTATTCAGATCTCTCCCTGAACTACCGCCTGACCCTCGTGAGCGTGACAAGCGACACCGTTCAGCTCTACATCTTAGGGAGATGAGGCTCGTGCAAATAAAAAAGAGTGGACAGATGTTTAGGCGGTGAGGAGAACCTCGTTGATTTATGAGGAGACCCGCCACATGAAGGTTTTAGAGTTGGATTTTAGGGAGTCTAGATCCGGAGTGGAGGTTATTAGAGGACAACCATTGATGGTCAAGATACTATTCGGGGCACTAATGATAGTGTCCCTACTTAGGGTGTGGAATCCGTTAAACTGGACCCGCCTTCTTTGTGATATTTGGTGCTATGCACCTCAAGTTTGATTCACCTACCACCCTATCTTTATATTAATTATTCATTGGGGACAATTGCATGTTTTTTGTTGGGGTGGGGTAAATTGAAAGTAAATTCTACGGTGAAGTCTGAGTAGCCCAACTCATGATCCTCTCTTGGTTGTTCTGTTGGCTGTGTTCGTTTGCTCGAAGAGAGTGATTACTTTACTGTTGAGTCGGCCTGTGTTATAACTTGTACAAAGTATGAAAGTGAAAAATGAATCCTCATTGATAAACATGAAATGATATTCCATTCTAAGAAAGTTCTTGCATAAATAGATATAATGAATGTGAAATGTTTGTTCTAATCATGAGATAAAGATGTACCCACTGCATGATCCTCACTCTAACAATCAAAGTAGGTGACCGATCATATTATAGTGTCATGAGGTGTCAAGAGACTGTGTGGAGATTTGATTGTTCCCCTATCGGTACCTAGATAGAACTTGCCCGGTTGGTACAGTAAAAGGAATCTGTGTTAGTAAATTAGGAAAGCATCATAGGCCCTTGTTCATATTGGCAAACATTAAGTCTAATGTGAAGTGAGCCGAATGAAATTGTTATCCCTTTTTGATCCAAACAGTTTTAGCCTATAATAGACCTTTTTTTGGTTCACCAACTCAACTTCCCTGGGTATAATCTTTTTTCCTTGGTACCTCCTTGGACATGTGAACCTCAATATAGGCGAAAAGCATAAATTGAGAATGGCTAATACAGAAACTGAACTTGTCTTGGTCCTGAACAAACTTTGGGTAATGTATACCTTGACTCATGGAAAAGCCATAAGTTTAGGGTGGCTATTATGAGTGATGACCCGAAAACTGGGTATGACAAAGAGTAATGTGGAAAAGAAAAGGGACAGTGAACAAGAGAAGTGACTCAGAATATACAAAAAGAGAAAAAGAGTGTTGAACAGAAAGCAGTAAGAGTCACTGCCAAAAAAGAGAAAGAAATGAGAAAATAAGGCAAAGACGACAAGAAATGTAGGGCATAATAGATAATGAAAGAGGTAGGACGCTTATCCGTAATGTCAAGGAGGCAAACAAGTAACTAAAATGTACCTGTATGAACCATAATTGACCGTGAGCCTACGTTACAAGCAAAGAAAGTCCTATGGTGATCCTAAGAGTCGAATATGGTGAACTTAAGCAGTGAAAATAAGGGCAAGCCTATGGAGAAAAGTACCAAGTAGGTGTGAATATGTTTTGAGCGTGAATGTTGAAAAAAGATCCTTATCTTTTTAAGTGAAGGAACTAGTTGCAACATCGGAAAGTTGATACCATATGAGAGACAAAACAGTAGAGGTTTCAGTGTATGGTGAGTTTGTGTCATGGTCTGATCTACATGAATAAGTCTATAAAGACTAA